ATAACTAAAATAATTCCAGGAACCATTCTTAATTAAATTGGTTTAGCTTGGTGCAACAAAAAATTGAGGCAATTTCTCACTTTCAATTTAATCAATTTAAATTAAACTTGAGAATTTGACAAAGTAAAGGGAAGTTGGAAAAATATGAACTTTAATGCTCATAATGAAAATTCCAACATCTAAATTTTTGTGAATCCTTGAAAATTATGTCTTCCAACATGAAGATAACCAAATTTCTATCACAAAAATCGAAACTTTACGTTTCGAATCAACTCAAAATGATTAAAACATCAAAGTTTAACACAAAATAACATGGAATTTAGTGGTTTTTAAAGTTTCAATCACTTATCACAAATAAAGATTGAATCTTTAACACTTAGGAAGCCTCAAAAATAAAACTTTCACACTAAAAAGCAATTAGTTTGCAATTATGTGAAAATAAATCAACCTTTAAGCATCAAATACTACCAAGTAAGTGTGCTTTAAGGGGACATAAAAATGCAGAAAATAATGCAAATAATCAACCATATAATCAAAAATTTATGCCATTAATTTCAAGGTTAGAAAAGACTAAAAAATTTTCGTCAAAAACGAAAAACCCCTTGAAAAAGACATTTCTGGTCAGAATTTGGCTAAAATCACAGGCCCCTTTCCAGAACACGTTTTCCAACCAAAATTCACTAGTCTTGGACGAAAATCTGGGTTCTGGGCCAAACTCGACATTAAAAACGGGATTAAAATAAATAAAACGGAGCTACTAATCTAATTAGCAACTTAAACCAGAAAATTAAGCCAAAATAAACTTTGAAAACATGATTATAAAAATAAACGACCGGGGCTCCGATACTGCTGTTGGGGTTTGGTGAGTCCGACTCACCGCGGAAACAACCCCTACCCGAGGAACCACTCGCAATAATTAAAATCATAAAGCATAAATAAATAATCACAAAGAAAAGATAACGAATCTTACCCTCGAAGCGAGCTTCGCCCAAAAACCAGGGCTCTTACTTGAACGCTACGAGCACGTCAAGCGCCGCGCCTCCGACGGTATCCACCCACAAAAGGCGAACACAACTTTAAGGTCCGCTACCTTGGGGTTAGCAAGGTCTGACCAAAACCCGAGTGTTATATGAGTTTAAGAGTTTTCCCAAAAATTATGGAATGCTCTTTTTAACTCCCACTCAAGCAAAGAATTCTCAAGCCATTCCATGACTATTTATAAGGAAGTATTCCTTGTGAATTTCACTCATCTTTCAATGTGGGACTTTTCACAAAAAGATCCCACATGGAAAGATTGGTGAATACAATCCCTTAGTTAAATAAACAAAGGAACAAGTAACAAGTGTCAGATGGTTGGGTGTGGACCACTTTCTCACTTGGTCCCCAAGGCATTTCACATGCAATGTGAACTAACCATGTGTCACCCAACCTTGAGCCCCAAGTTGGGTTCGGTTGGCCCACTTTATTTTGGCCTGTGTCCATGACCCATCAACCCGGGTCCACGACCATTGCCACATGTGTCGCCACCGTGGCGCGCCGCCACCATGGCGCTGCCACGTGGCACGCTGCCACTTGGTGGCTGCCACTAGGTGGCTGCCAATGTGGCGGCTGCCAACGTGGCTACTGCCACTTGGCGGCTGCCAACGTGGCGGCCACGTGTGCTACCACATGGCGTTTTGCCATGTGTGCTGCCACGTGGCATGCTCCTATTGGGCATGCATTCCTAGCCTTTTGCGTGGCTAGGATTTTACTTGTTACTTGATGCATTTTCCCGTCTCGCCAAATCCTAAATTTTGGCTCGACATTTGAGATTCTCCGACGCTAGGTTTCGATGCTCCAAGCTCGAATTTCCAACGTCTAAATGTTTAACACTCGGGCGACGAATTAATTTCTTCCAAATTAATTCGTCGAATTGGTTCATATATTTTGCTTGGGTGTGACCCGAAGGGTTCAGTCAAGATTAAGCTGTAATATTAATTATATTAATACTACTGATCGGAAGCGGCCTCCACCCAGGCATTTCGATCACTTGACCTTACTAAATATATTAGCTTTCTAATAATTCTGAACCCGCTATCAGAATAATACACTTGTTCGAAGGACACCATTCCTTTCAGGGCGATGATGTGTCTGACGCCCCTTAAGGCTAATGAGCCCATTAGATGGGCGATGATGGGTCTGACACCTCTTGGAATAGTACGTGCTCGGATCACCCCATATTCAGCCCCTAGGATGGGTAATGATATAATTGACGCTTTATAAAAGCCTCCTGGTTGACAAGTGTCTGTGAAGAAAAATGTAGACTTATGTATTTAAAGCAACATCAATGAAGAAACAAATTTTTATGGTATCTTATGTATACTTGTATTTATTGTTATGTTTGACGCTCTTTGGGGTGGCCGAGCCTTATGGGAGGGCGATATAATTTTTTTACCCCTTCGAATTAATGATCCCCTTGGATAGGCGTTGATGAGCCTAACGCCCCATAGGGCTATTGAGCCCCTTAAATGGGCAATGATGTGTCTCACACCTCTTAGGGCTAATGAGCCCCTTGGATGGGCAATGATTTGTCTCACACCCCTTAGGGCTAATGAGCCCCTTAGATGGGCGATGATGTGTCTGACGCCCCTTAAGGCTAATGAGACCCTTAGATGGGCGGTAATGTGTGACGCCCCTTAGGGCTAATGAGCCCCTTAGATGGGCGAAGATGTATCTCACGCCCCTTAAGGCTAATAAGCCCGTTGGATGGGCGATGATGTGTCTCACGCCCCTTAGGGCTAATGAGCCCCTTAGATGAGCGATGATGTGTATGACGCACCTTAAGGCTAATGAGCTCCTTGGATGGGCAATGATGTGTCTTAGGCCCTATAGGGCTAATGAGCCCCTTGGATGGGCAATGATGCGTCTGACACCCCTTAGGCCTAATAAGGCCCTTGGATGGGCGATGATTTATCTCACGCCCCTTAGGGCTAATGAGCCTCTTGGATGGGCGGTAATGTGTCTGACGCCCCATAAGGCTAATGAGCCCCTTGGATGAGCGATGATTTTCCTGACGTCCTTTAGGGCTAATTAGCCCCTTAGATGGTGAATGATTTGTCTGACGCCCCTTAGGGCTAATAAGCCCCTTTCATGGGCGATGACGTGTCTCACGCCCCTTAAGGCTAATGAGCCCCTTACATTGGCGATGATGTGTCTTACACTGACATCTCTTAGGGCTAAATAGCCCCTTGGAAGGGCGATGATGTGTCTTACGCCTTTTAGGGCTAATGAGCCCCGTGGATGGGCGATGATGTGTCTGACGCCTCTTAGGGCTAAAGAGCCCATTAGATGGACGATGATGTGTCTGAGACCTGTAGACACCCATTTGTGTCTCCCCAAAACCAAACCCAGTGTTGAGTACCTTTCACGTCGAATCATAATCGAATGAAGTGAAAGTGTGGAAAGTTTAGTGTTGCGGAAAGTTTTAATTTCTTTTCTCTTCTCTCTGTTTTTGAAAACCTTTTTTAAGAAAACAGCCAAACCAATTTGGTTCGTCCATGATATGGGTCCAATAGTAGTGTAGTTGGATAGGGCTTGAAAAGAGGTTTCCAACGATATATTTTAAGCCCAATTCCGATGAATATTGAGGAAGTTATGGCCAATTTACTGAACTGGGCCCGGTTTGAGCCTTATATGCGGCCCAATGATCTAAGGGAGGGCCTAATATAGATTTATAATTCCTAATGCAATTAATAAATGGTTTTAGTCTTCTAGATTCTTCAAGAAGGTTCTTTTCATTCCTAATTCAATTAGCATTGATAAATTGACTTTTGTTGACTTTTTAAAGTTTTAATCAGAATCAAAGAACATATGTTGAGGAAAATACGATTTTATCCTCCTGTACGACAATTTTTATCTGATTTTAATAAAACGCGTGGATTTCTAAGTCAGCGCCAAACGCCACCTGTAGCGCCTAACGCTACGATTGGCGCCTGGCGCTAGACATGGCGCCTGCCGCCAATCTTAGCGCCTGGCGCTAAGGTCAGCGTCTAGTGCCAACTCGGTTTTTTTGCGTCAGAACTCTGTTTTTGATATTTTATCTTTTGGCTTATTTTGTTTTTATAATTAACGTCGTAAAAACTCTGTTTTGATTCACCTACAATCACCAATTCTCTCTAATTCAACAACTCTCATCAATATTTTCTAGATTATTATCTCTCTCTCTTTTCTAAACTAGCCTTTTCTCAAATACAAAATTCCGCATTCGCAAGACTTAGAAGCATCTAGCCATATTGGAATTTGCCTTCGCCCTAGACGTGAAAGGTTTAATTTCTGAGGTTTTGGTCCCTAATCTCTCTTTCAATTATTTAATTTAATTATTGTTGTTTATTATTTTCCTTGAAGTTACTAACGTGTGTATTTTGTTATTAGAAAGAGGTACGAGGCATCAAAGTAAGTGCTTTAATGGTTTTTATTGATGTTTTTTTATGTAGAAATCATGTTTAGGTTGTTATTATGATATTCCTACACTACTACAAAAGGCGTGCTTTTTAGACGCTTTTTAGCCTTATTTTCGACACTCAAAAGCGTCGCAAAATTTTCTCTCGACGCTTTTTCGAGAATAAGTGAGTAGAAAATTTTGTTGGACATCAAAAGGCATCGCGAATCTTGACGCTTTATTGTGTCTAAATTTTTATACGAAGCGTCACAATTTGCAACAACTGGCGCACTTTCTTAACTTTGGCGCCGCTTTTTGTAGTCAAGAATTTTAGGATTGGTGACGCTTTTCTATGTCCAGATTTTCATACATTTGTTATCTAACATTTTGGCGACGTTTCTCCTGTCCACGTTTTCAAATTTGGGGACGCTTTATCTTGTCCATATTCTTTTGAAAATATATCAAAAATAATTAAATAAAATAAAATATTTCATTCACTGACAATGATTTCTAGTATACTAATATATATTACCAAAAAAAATTAAGAAGTACAACAAAATTATACCAAAATTTTTATATGGCATATATAAATATATTATAGCATATATACAATATCTCATAGTAATGAGTTTCTATAACAACAATTATAATTGAAACTTAGAATTCATTCGTGACTAGTTGTAGTGTAACAAATTCCGAATCACTAATTGAAATCTTTAAAGAGCTTAAATATATCTTTCTTCCGTCCTTTAAATATTGCAGTGTTAGTTGTCAGCCTTTTTCAACTGTTTCTCGGCATTCATACATGGATGTCTACATAATCTTTTGACCCTGCAACACATTAAAGCATATGCATCGATCAATACATCAACAAGTGAATCTAAATGACAGAATCTCAAACAACTCCACTAATGAAACAGACACCTGCAAACATAGTTACAAGTGGAGTTAAGGATCTACTGATTACAAACAATAGGCACATTTAGCCCTTCACATTCAAATAACAGAAAATTTGAGTGGCTACCAGTACCATAACACACTTACCTGCATGTAGCGTAGAATTAATTCTGGAAGACAACAGCTTCGTCAACATTGTATAGAACCGAAACATATCCAAGTCCTGCAACAATGCTCATTTTAATTATCATGCTGGAGTCACACTATTAATAATAATATCTCACAGGAAAAAAAACAATCACAATACTATCAATGTACAATTCTCCAGCAATATATATAATAGATTCCCTAAGTACACAATAGAAGATCAAGTATTACTAGAAGAAAGAAGATGCAGCTAGCATTGGAATAGGATACTGTAAGGTCAGTAACTAACTACCCCAAAAGAGACACTGCTACTGCCCTTTGCCAAAAAAAATGCAGTCCCGCAAGATATTATGAAATTACATGCTACAAACTTCAATAGTGCTGACTACAAAATAAGAGGATGGCATCAAAACAAGCACTACCTCATCATTTTTAACTCTTTAAGCAAAAGCATTAGGACAACTAAAAAGGATAGAAAAAATATACTTCACAATAAGAGCCATGTAAAGTCCACAGAAAATTAAACCAATTATAGTGTGAAAAAATCAAAGTACTACTTACTTCAAGAACAACGAAGATGGAAACACTAGCATAAAGAAGATCAATAGAGATCCCATCAAACTTAAATTTCATCACAGGTACATGCGCATCAGGAATTGGTTGAAGCTCGGTCACTTCCACCAATTGTGCTAGAATATCATGGAAAATGTAAAAGAAATCCTCCTATTGAGCACAAGGTAGAAAAACAATTAGAAGCTAAAACCCGGAGCAAATTCAATGAAATTGAACAAATCGCACAAATTAAGACCACCACTTACATCTCGGTTGATATATGATGGCCCCACACATAAAGCATCTATATCAGCTTCGGGACCACTCACCTGTATAAGGTATGCAAAGGATAAGTTTCGAATTGAAAAAAAAAACAATTAGTATTTATGTCAGAATATAAGTCATACAAAAATAACTCTTTTATGAAAGCATACTTCAATAAATCACAACAAGAAACTGATACCATAAATCAGCATAGCAAACCAAAACAAGACACATTAAAAAAAAACAATGAAACCATCGGTTATCGCAATAAACGACATCAAAAATCTCTGAAAAGAAGTATTAGAAAAACCAGACGAAGAAAACTTCAAGAATCTATAACTTGAGTTTTAATCAACAATGCATAATCAATCTCCTCAAATGCAGATTCACCAGACATATATTAATCAATAGCAGCAATCTAAAAATGGTTTCACCAAAGCATAAAATCTTTGATTTCTTACCCCCAGACGACAACATCCAAAAGTGAGTATTAATGCATTAGCATCCGCAACCATTTGATCTGTATGCAAGCTAAGACATCATTTTGCCAGTATTTATGACTCGATAGGCTAAAAAATGTATGACATCCAAGTTTAAGGAGAGTGGCAGGACTCCTCCTCCAATACCCTGGTAATTTTATCTTTTAAGAAACATTAAAGTCCTAAGGTGTTCATAAAGTCTAAATCATCATGAAAACCAGAGCTAAATTAAACACCCGAGAAAGATCGTGATGGCAGAGATGAGGCCAGGAGCAAAAATAAAACACTCAAACCAGCAACAAGCATGAAATAAGGATGATATGTACCAAAACATGCACTTTACAAACCAAAACCTGAACTAAGCATCAAATTAGCTCTAAACATCAGGCTGCTAGGAGCATTTCTACAACAAACAAATACTATTTGCTCCCCTTTTACTCTCTATATTCTTTTGCCCTGCTTGGGAATTCAATGCTACGAATCAGCTCAGATAAGTAATAATTAATAACACAAGAAACAGAACATACGTACCTGCAACTCCAAACCTTTTGCCTAGTCACTTTCCATGAGGTTGCCAATGTGGCTTCTATGTCAGCAAGACAAGAGCAGCAGGGAGATCAGGTAGGCTGTAGGCACCAAATTAGCAAAAAAGCAGCAAGTGTAGAAAAATCTTCTTCACACCCTCTTAATCATAGTCCCTATTAAATCTCGAAAAATGGAATTAGTTTACAAAATTAATTCCTTGATATTAAGATAGAGGATTCAATTGAAATCAAATAATAAAAAAAATTAAACTCTTCCTAATTATCTCTGACAAACATGAAAGATCTCTTTGATTACACAAAGGGGTGTCATATTGCAAAGAGCTAGGGATTAAGACCCAATAAAGGTTTTGGTTCTTACACTAGAATTTTCAATTACTAGCTAAATAAATATAACCTCGTGAACAAAAAAATTTAAAGCCACTAATAATTGATTGTGTGCATGGAGTATTTTTTGAAGTTGATAATAAGTAGTCTTCAACTCAGTTCTTAACTAAACAAAAAAGAGTGTGCAATGAGATTTACCCACTCTCCAAGAAAGTGGGCTTTGTCAACATGTCCGACTTTACACCATATACATTAAATCTTAGCTTTGCTTTTATCAAATCCAATGCAAACTCGTAGCGTCGCATATCACGTGAAGAGGGAAAATCCTAATCAATATGCCAAAAAAAAAAAAAACAGACTACCTAATAGATTTCGGAGGAACACATTTACTAGCAAAAACATACACTCTAAAAAGGCCAGGAGATAAAATGTCAATAGGAAGATATACTAAATACCAAAATGTATGTAGTAGTAAATTTCTATGTAATCAAAGTATATATAATCAATTATTGCACACCATAGAAATATCATGCATTGAAATGGGTGTTTAGCTCTCTGAATATTAAACTACAAGTACTTAAGCACCTAATATTCTCTGATATTTCCATGACTACAAGTACTCAGAACAACAAACTACAAGCACTCAAAAATTTTCTTTCAGGCATTTTCATAAACTTGTATAGAGGGAACACATTGCACTTAAACTCCTCTTACATAGATGGCAGAGAAGAGTCCAGGCAGCACCAGAAATAAAATACTTAAACTATAAGACCAAACTTTTCATATAAAACAATAATTATTATCAACTAATTCACAAATGTGCCGAGAGGACCCAGATATAAATCTATCCTTCTCATTTATCCATTCAATTATAATACAGAACCTAAATAGTCCCAACATTGAACGATATTCATGATATTCCATATCTACAGGCACTCTAAGGCCGCAGGGCTCACACCGAAAATTCTTTCAGCATATAACTTCACATATCTTCCAATTCAGTTGAAGAGTGTAAATATTAATCAAAATTCAATTTTTGCTAACTCGTTTCTATAATAAAATGATTTCTCTAATTTATAAAATATTGAAACATGGACCTAACCACATACAAAACATAGCCGGCAGAGAGATAGGAATAGGAAGAAATTAACCTTAGACCATGAAATACTGATGAATTAGAATGAATTCTCAACAAATAAGTGTAATTTAAAAAATAATTATTCACATTAAAATAAAAAATAACAAGATAATATGGCTTGTGCTAAAAACCAATAGTAGCTCCCACTATCCATTCATCATGATGCACTTAGTCAACAAACAACGATTTTAGCATTAAATTTCATAACATATTTCACAAATAAGTACTTATTCAACTACTAATTTGCTTCTCGTGGCCCTAATAAAAAAAAATTCATGTGTACTTGAAGATTCTTTTGTTGATCGCTACTGTTGTTGGGCTACTGTTGATGCCTCACATTGTATAATCTGCAAGATTCACAATTTGAAATCCACTGTTGTATGATTTTTATTTTATTTTTTTTACTCCAATAAACAAAAAAATACTATGTCGATTTTTTCATACCGTAATATAAAAGATCTAAACTTTGCAATCTACGAATTTATAAAAAAAAAATCTAGAATCTAAGAGTTGTAATTGAAGAAATAGTAAATTAACAAGATTTATAACCTAGGGTATTGAAACGAGTGAAATTGGGTAATTGCAACTTGCAAGTATCAATTAACTCACACAAAAAATGAAAGAAGTACTACTAAAAATTAAAATTCAACAAAGAGTGATGTAGAAATGTAACCTTTGAGGAGAACAAGAGCAGTAGATGTCGCAAATCAATTTTCAATGCAAACAATCAGATCTAAGAGAAAGAAAGTAATTTTTGGCAAGATATGTAAATTATTGTGATAGAATTTGAGAAATACAAGGAGGAAGAAGATCTCAATTCGAAATCTAGGCCATAACTCCATGAATCTCTGCGTAGAATTTCGATCGAATGAAGAAAAAAATACAGAATAGTTATGGTTAAGAATATGATGAGTTTGGGGTTTTGTGATTTTAAGCGGGTTCCTGATTGAGTACATGTGCTCCTCGACGCTTAAAAATGTCTAAAATTACTTTGGACATTAAAAAGCGTCGTGGACACGCGGAATCATTATATTTGTTGTTGATGCCCCAGCCTAGGCGTCAAGCCAAAAGCGTCGAAAAAGGCTCCTTTTGTAGTAGTGCTAGTATCATGTCTAGGTTAACTTTAATATCAAGTATGATTGTTATGGTGCTTCCTATGTTCTTCCTAATATTTATTCATGTTAGTATCATGTTAGGGTTAAAGCTTTGATCTTTGATGTTTAGTGACATGCTAGGGTTTGTTATTAATCTTGTTATTATCATGCCTAGGATCTTGCTATTAATATTATGGTTTAACATGATTATTATTATTATGATTTATTTTTTTAATTATTATTATTCATTATTATTATGTTTCTTGATGATTATATATATTGTTATTTCTTGATCACGCTTAATAAGATAATTAATAATCTTGTTAGGGTTAATTTGATTATAATTCAAGTGATCGCCAATAATAGATTTATTTATGCATTAAATTCAACCAACACAGATTAAACATGTTTAGGGTAAACCTAATGATTGTATGTTAGTCAGAAAGCGCACATGAATATGATCAAAATAAAGTAGAGGCCTATTGTTAGGGCAGGTTCAATCTCTTTTAGGTTTGATTTGTACCTTCATCCCAGAACCCTATTTGGTTCAAGACCTTATGGAGTTTACGATCTCTTGGATCGTTAAGGGGTGTAACCTTCACCATGTGAACGGTTTATAAGTTCCTAAAAAACTTGTTGGCGACTCTTTTGCTCTATCTTCTTTTCCTTTGGACGCCACCGTACTTTAGTGTATGATCACAGTGGGGTTCAAGCTAGGGGATTAACGCTTAAAATATTCTCTACAGTTTTTAGGCGACTCCACTGAGGAGGATTTCTATTTTAATTCCTGAATTTGTTTCGGCAATGATTTAGAATGAGTGGATGAAACTCGAAACATTCTAAGTATTTCATGTGCGTAATTTTGATTAACATTATTGTCATATGCATAAAAAAATCTCATTGGAAACACCATCCATAATGAGTTAAAACATAGGATTTGACACTAGGAAATTTGAGAAATATCTTTCACAACTAGGACCGAAATAACACTGCGCGAAACTGGAAAATTTTATCGAGCACAGAAAGCTGCTGAGGCATGTAAGAATTAGTGTCAGCGAACAGAAGCTGGCGCCAGACAGTTAACTGTAGCGCCAGACGACAGCTCTGTCGTCAGGCGCTACAGCTAAATCCTGGCGCCAACCTTTGTTTGCTGGCGCCAAATTCTTCCAATACCGAGCCAGAAATATGCGTTCTAATTTCGACTAATTTTTCGTATTGTTTGCTCGATCCTACTTCTTGATTGAGTTTTTCTCACTTTTCTGAAACCCATATGTGTTCTACATATGGACATAACCCTCTGGGAATTCATGCTCCATCTACCTGATTGAACACTCTGAGCAACAAAGGGTACATCCGAGAATGTTGAATTCACCAAACCATGGAAGCGAGTTTTTTCTAAATTCGCGGTGTTCCATCCAATCGCACCAACCCTTCACGGTTAGGCTTCCGCGTAGTGCATCCGGACAATTAACCATGGACCCTCTATTGACTAAAATATATCCCGAACTTTAGCATCATATTATGCCTACTTGACTAATTGTGCATTATTTGTTGTGCATATATATGTTTTCTTAACCGTTTGTTTGACTTGTGTTGAGATTAAATAAATTAATGACTTAAAGAACTTTGCCTAATTAATTGATTAATTAATTTGAGTAAGTAAAGTCTAATATCTTAACCAGAATTTACCTAGAACGACTTTAGGCATGCCCCTGTTGATTAATAACACCGAAAACAATCTCAGATTGAAGCTCCAGCATTGGCGCCAAAGTCTGAACTGTAGTGCCACTATGTAGAGTGTGGCGCCTGGCGACAGCTCTGTCGTCTGGCGCTACACTACAAAGAGAGGCGCCAGTCCTGTCATTTTGACGACAGTTCGGATTATTGATCGAGTCATCATCTAGTGTCTAATTAACCATTTTACTAATTAATGCGGTTAAATTTTACTGTCAATAATGCCTTGTTAAGACATTAATTGAATCTAAGTCACATAGTCTAGCCACATGGTCATGACACGAGTCCATGTATGTCACCTACACTCACTAGTCTTAGCACACACTTTGAGTACATATCACCATGACCATGTCTTAGGTTCATGCATGAGTCGGTTTTTTCCGTCATTTGAGTTGGGGGGTACATTCTATTCCTAATTCTTCACATCCCTCCATCTACATCATTTTCCTTCACATTCTATTCCAATCTTTCTTCACTTCCTCCATCCATTGCATGTTGAATAAAGTTTGAGTCAAATAATTAACAATGAATATCCCCAAATTCCTTTTCCACAGTACTTAGTCGAGGATAGAAGGGCGATTAATCAAGGACAACCTCTTTATTAAAGTCTCACTTTTTGATAAACCAATTCGTCGAAGGAGGAAGGCTAAAAAGATAATGGCAAGTCAAGAAGAGGTCAATGAACTTAAGAATCAATTGAATGACGTGACTGAGATGTTAAAGGCTTTAACCCTCTAAATTAATGACCCTGTGAAGCAACAACAAATGAACCTTATGCAAGAAAGTTTGAGCAGGCTATCTAGTAACTATAAATTTCAGGGCCTTAGTTCATAAGGGGTCTCGCTGTACAAGGAACTTCTTCCGCATAAGTTCAATGCCACTGACATCCCAAAATTCAAGGTAACAGATAACCCTTACTTTCATCTAAGAGCTTTTGAAACTATAATGAACATTAAGGGTATCGTTGAGAAGGTTTTCCCCTCTCTGTTCTCACTATCTCTCGAGACCATTTGCCAGCAATGGTTCTTTTCTCTTAAGAAAGAAAAAACCTCCACCTGGGAGTCCATAGCAAACGCTTTCATAGATAGATATAATTGCAACATTCGAGACGAAACGGACCATAGACAACTTGAGATGTTAAAATAAAAAGAAAACAAAGGGTTCACTTCTTTCTTCAACAAATGGAGGGAAACTTCCGCTAATATGGTCAAGGCTCCCATCGAAAAAGAATCTGTAAGGATGTTTATCAAGAATCTCCAAGGGAAGTATTCAAGGCACTTAAAATACCAGCACAACTTGATTACTTTCAAGGCTGTCTATAATATAGGTATTGACATTGAAGATGACCTTATGAAAGACAATAGTGCGAGAGGAAAGAAAAACGACCATCCTTCTTCTTCCTCTCTCATTAATGAGGTACATGCCACGAACGCCTCTAAATCGCGAATCCAAAGGTCAAAAAGAGTGTTCACTCCACTTGGTATGAGTTATGAAACAACTTTCGAGAAGCTACATCACAAAGGACTAGTCATGCCCATAGGGCCTATCAAAGATCCAATTCCAGAAGCCAGGACAGCCAAGTGGGACCCTAATAAGCACTGTAAATATCACCAAGGAAAGGGCCACGACACTGAGGAGTGTTGGAAACTCAAAGAAGCTATCCAAGATCTGATCGATAACAATGAAACTTCCGAGATTCTAGCCATCGAAGAAGATCAGACATCCTTCGATCCATCACTTCTTATCACACCTATAGGAGAGCCCATGATCGAGACAACTTATATAACCTCTCTTAATGAAGTGACCATGATTGAGGAGGATGAAAGTCTTTTCTTAGATAATACCAGGGAAGACTCGTCAAGTCTAAAAGAGACGTCCGAAAACTGCAAGATGTCATTTCCATGCTCTTGAATGTGGTACAAGGACTAGCAAATCGGGTGATGGTTATAAAAAAAAATCCTCGCCAAGGGTTTAATGAAGAACTCAATGCTCCTAAGGCACGGGCAAAATGGACCATTGAAGAATATACACCAACAGGAATAATTTATAATGAAGCTTTTGACTGTCTTCATGATCAAGGTCATATTCACTCCATTGGTCCCAGTCAAGACCGTCCATTTGAAAAACGTTTTCCCTATTGGGTTCCAATTTCCTATTGTCGATACCATAGAGGTCGCGGTCACACTACCGAAAAGTGTCTCGCCCTCAAGGATCGTGTTCAAGATTTCATTGATTCAAATCGCCTTCATGTTCCTCCGCACGACAAGAAGGCCAAGATTAGTAACGATAGTAACAGTGGCTGAAAAGGGAAGAAGGACGACTATCCTTCTTCTTCCGAAAACACCTACTCTAGTAACACTATTAGTACTTTGGAATTAGCTACGATGATGCTTTCGATCGACTCCATGCCAAGGGAATCATTACTCCTATTGGACCTCTTCAAGATCCCCCACTTGAGAAGAGAGTGCCTAGTTGGAATCCAAATGTGCGCTGCAAGTATCATCAAGGTAGAGGTCAAGCTACTGAGAGCTGTTGGAAGTTAAAGGAGGCTATCCAACATTTGATTGATAATAACAAGCTTTCCATACCTCCAGTTAACAAGAAGAGCGAGTGATGATAAAGCAAACAACACAAGACAAGAGGCGAGCTTCAAACGACGAGATTTCATGACATCTTTTTTCTTTTTCTTTATTTATCCTTTCCCCAATAAGTCTAGCATAGGCACCTTTCTTTTCTCTTAGATTAATTTTGTAGATTCTTTCTTTTCCCCTTTTAATAAAAATGAGCATTTATTCTTTTGCATATGATCACTTTATTATATTGCATTAAAAAAAATTAAAAAAAATAAAAAAAAATCCATGTCAAACTAAGCATAAGGTATACCAATGATTTGAGGCACCCCTTGTAGCCACATCATATTACCTTTCACCTTTCTAATTTACAATCCTTTATTCATAAACCACTTTGAGCCTCATCTAACGATAGACCTTTTATTTTTCAACCTACATCTACCTAACTTTAGGATGGGATGATGTGCAACTTATTCAATTTTTAATTTGATAAAAAGCTTGAATGACTTCAAAAAATTAAAATTGAAAAAATGAGCAAAAGCAAAAAATAAATAA